GTGTACCCAAGACAATCTACTGGCTAAGCATGTGTCTTTGCAGCAGGATCCTGGCACGAGAATTACCCTTAGACCCAGTAAATCTAGAGATTAGTCTGGAGTCTCTTTTGTGCACTAAAATTCAGCACATTTTTTCTATCCCTAAGCCCTTTCCTGAAAATGGGTTTCTAATATTATGTCTGAATTCCTTGTTCACTGAACCTACAAGGAACGTATGGGGCAATGGAATTAAAAGATTAAACCTCAGGCCACTTGCACTAAGTCTTTAAATGCCTTATGAAGCACAGTTTACATAGCAACTGAGTCTACAATTGGAATAAGCAGACTCAAATTGCTTTTAGAGAGTCTTAAAACTCAGGTGTTATGATAATTTTCTTTCTTAACCATTTTCCTGCTGTAGTAACAGGCCCAGTGGCATTATAATTTCTCTTGATGCACACCATTAAATTTCACTTATGATTGTATGTATTTAAGTTGTGTTTTGGCTGCACCCTTAAATATTACAAGGTGACTTCATGTGATCTGGACTTGGAGATTAGCTCCTCTCTTGAGATCATGTGCAGTCTCTTGAGTAATCTCACCTAAAAACTTGTTAGAGCTGTATGCTAGCTCATTTGAAATGTATGCAAGCTTTATGATAAGAATAGAGGCCAAGAAAAGTTACCAATAATAATTATAATAGTAATGGTAGTAATGGCTAGCATTTGCTGAGTACTTTCTGCAGGCTAGAAACAAATGCTTTTCCTGCATTATTTCTTTTACTCCTCAGAGTAGGCCTATGATTTCTGTACTAGTATCTTCCTTGGTGTGTATTTTTGTGCCATATCTGTCTCTTCCATGGGAGGACATTGGTGTGCCTTTTTTCCCTCTCTCTTCTACGTCAGCAATGATTTAGCTGTCTACTAGATCATGCCCATCAGAAGCCAAACATTGTGTAAGCTCTTCCCTTTGAAAAGACAAAACAAAACTGCATCAAAAAACAAAGCCTCCTCCTGACTCTACTTCCCATACAGGCTACCATCCCATTTTTTGTTCCCTTTTACAGAAAACAATCTTGAAATAGCACTTAGCTCAGACAGTTTGTTTCCTCGCATTTTTTTAAAGAGATATGGTCTCACTCTGTCACCCAGGCTGTAACAATTTTTAAAGAGTCAACATTTCTCTAGTAAATCTGCCTTTCATTGCAAATTTATCAGAGCTGGTTCTTCACTGAGCAGAACCTATTTTAGCTTTCTACATTGTGATCCTACATTCAAACATTTTTAACATACATTTTTCAGTCAGAAGACCATTTTATCTTTATTTTTATAGAGATAGGTCTCGCTCTGTCACTTAGGCTGGAGTGCAGTGGTGCAATTATGGCTCACTGCAGCCCTGAACATCCTGAGCTTAAGTAATCCTCCCTCCTCAGCCTCCTGAGTAGCTGGGAAAACAGGTGTGCATCACCAGACCCAGCTAAGATTAAAAAAAAAATTATTATTATTCATTCTCTGGCCTAGCTTCCCAAAGTGCTGGTATTATAGTCATGAGACTCCTTACCCAGCCAATGCATTTTTTTTCCTTAAATAACTCCAGATTATAGTTTGCCCCTGCTACTCTGTCCAAATAACCTCCATGCTACTAAATTCACTGGCCAATTTTCAGTATCTCATCCACCAGCAGCTTCTGACAAAATTACTTCCTCTTTCTTGAATCACTGTTTTCCCAGAACTGCACTTTTGGGTTTCCTCCTACTTCCCTGGTCACCACTATTCCCCAGCTCTTCTTCATGTTGGAAGACCCCAGGGCTCGATGTTGAGTCTTCCTGCTTTTCTATCCACGTATCATTCATTGCTGATCTCATCCAGAATCATGGCTTTACATAATCTTTATGCTTCATACTTTCTACGGACTTCTCTAGATTTGCTCTCCAACCTTTTCCACCCTGCTCTCTGGGAAGGCATAGCAACATATTTCCTTGGCCTTTAATTTTCATTTGTGTTTGGCCCATGAGGGCATGGGCAGGTGATAGGAGGGTAGAAGGAAAGAGATTGGAGTATTTATTCTTTGTCCATTGCAATAGATTGGCTGCATTTTTCTACTGAAGATCACATTTCTTTTCAGGTCACCCTCCTTATATAGCCACCCTCTTTAGGTCTGATGGGTGTTCCTTCCCTTCCCTTTTTATACTAGGGATGTTAATAGCTCTAGACTACTCTACCATTCCTTGTTGATTTCCTTAAATCCTACCCACACCTTTGAAAATATTTCTTGTCTCAATTACTCAATTTGAATATAACTTTATTTCCTACCAGGATCTTGATGGAAATATGTTCTAAATGCTGACACTCCCAAACTTCTATCTCCAGTTTAGATCTCACTTTTATGAACAGCAGACTCCCATATTCAGCTGCCTCCTCCATATCTTTGTTATGTTCAAAACTAAACCCTGTATTTTACTTCCAAATCTGTTCTACCCACAGCCTTCACCATTTAATCAATGACAACTCTATCTTTCAATTGTTCAGACTAAACATCTTGAATCACCCTTGACACTTATTTTCTTTCAACATCTCATCTAATACATCAGGAAATTTTTAAGGCTCTTTCTTGTAAATATATCTAGAATCTAACCAATTCTCACTGCCTCCTCTCCTACCACCTTGGCCCAAGCTGCTGACATTTCTTCTCTTCATTTATAGCAATAACCACCTGCATTATTGATGGAGATTTCTTATTGGTCTCCATTCTTTACCCTTATTACCTATAGTTTATTCCAGAACACATCATGTTGCTCCTCTGCTTAAAAGCTTGTGATGGATCCTGTATCACTCGAGTGAAAGCTGAAGTTCTTCCATTCATCTACAAGACGATACATGAGGTGACAAGTTAATACACCTCTGACCTTCTCTCCTCCTATCTTCCTTTCTCTGTTCCAGCCATACTGATTTGTTTGCTGTGCTAGAACAAAATCTTTAATCCACTCTTCTCAATCTTAGAATGCTTAAAATCATTTAGCTAACTTCTTCAACTGCTTCAAGTCTTTGCTCAACAGCCCCTTCAAAATGAAGCCTACTGTGACCATCCATATTGAACTGCAACCTTTCTTCCTGCTAGCTCTCTCCATTTCCCTTCCTCTGCTCCACTTCTCTTGCTGGAAACCTGTGTCAGATACTAATATTCTAGACTATTTATTTAATGTTTATTGTTTATAGTCTACCTTCCCACCCCAGCCCCGCTAGAACATAAACACCTCAAGGGCAAATATCTTTGTTTTTTCACTAGTATGCTGCCAGTATCTAAAAGAGTGCTTTGTTCATAGTAGCAACTTGAAAATTTTGTTATATCTGCCTCCCAAAAGTTTTTATATGTTTTGGATTCATTTTCATTAAACTAAAATATTTTTGAATTAGCCTTGTGTCCTCTTCTTTGATCCATGAGTTATGTAGAAGCGCATTGTTTAATTTTCAAGTGTTTAGAATTTTCTGGATAGATTTCTGTTAAACTCTGTTGTGGTCATAGAAAATAATTTATATTTCAATTTTTAAAATTTTTTGAGACTTGCTTTACAGCCTAGACTGTGATCTCTCTTGGTAGATGTTTTATATGCACTTGAAATGAGTATGTATTCTGCTATCATTCGGTGAAGGGTCTTGTATGTCAATTATGTCAAGTTGATTGATACTGTTTTCTTTTCTATCCTTACTGATTTTGCTATCTCCTTGTTTTACTGATTGCTGAGAGAGGGATGTTAAAATCTCCAACTATTATTGTGAATTTGTTTATTCAAATTTTCTCCTTTCAATCCTATGTATTATTGCTTCACATATTTTGACTTTTTGTTGATACACAAACATTTTTGTATTTTTATGGTTCTTTAGTAATGGGCCCTTTATCATAATGTGATGTCCCTTTTTACTTTTGCTAGTATTACTTGTTGTAAAATCTAATTTGTCTGATACTAATTAACATAACCACTCCAATTTTTTAAACTAGGTTTGCATGGTATATCTTTTTTCATCCTTTTACTTTTAATGTACATATGTCTTTATATATTTAAAGTAGATTTTTTATAGGTGGCATATATTTGGGTATTGTTTTTAATTCAATCTGGCAATCTACCTTCCACTAGGGGTATTTAGACTATTCATATTTAAACTAATTATTAATATGGTTGTATTTGAATTTACCATTTCTCCAGTTACTTGTCTCATCTCATTTCTTTTTCCTTTTAAACAAGCCCATTCAAAGGTGGGCAAAGGATATGAACAGACACTTTACGAAAGAAGACATATATGAGGCCAACAATCATATGAAAAAATGCTCATCGTCACTGGTCATCAGAGAGATGCAAATCAAAACCACATTGAGATACCATCTCATGCCAGTTAGAATGGCGATCATTAAAAAATCTGGAGACAACAGATGCTGGAGAGGCTGTGGAGAAAAAGGAACACTTTTACACTGTTGGTGGGAGTGTGAATTGGTTCGACCATTGTGGAAGACAGTGTGGTGATTCCTCAAGGCCTTAGAAATAGAAATTCCATTTGGCCCAGCAATCCCATTACTGGGTATATATCCAAAAGACTATAAATCGTTCTACTATAAGGACACATGTACACGAACGTTCATTGCAGCACTGTTTACAATTGCAGAGACCTGGAATCAACCCAAATGCCCATTGATAATAGACTGGATTGGAAAAATGTGGTACATATACACCATGGAATATTATGCAGCAATCAGAAATGATGAGTTTGTGTCGTTTGTAGGGACATGGATGAATCTGGAGAACGTCATCCTCAGCAAACTGACACAAGAACAGAAAATGAAACACCGCATATTCTCACTCATAGGTGGGTGATGAAAAATGAGAACACATGGACACAGAAAGGGGAGTACTAAACACTGGGGTCTACTGGGGGGAAAAGGGGAGGGCCAGTGGGAGGGGGAGGTGGGGAGGGATAGCCTGGGGAGAAATGCCAAATATGGGTGAAGGGGAGAAGGAAAGAAAAGCACACTGCCATGTGTGTTCCTACGCAACTGTCTTGCATGCTCTGCTCATGTACCCCAAAACCTAAAATCCAATAAAAAATTAAAATAAATAAATAAATAAATAAAAATAAAAATATTTTAATATTTTAATAATTCTATCTTATCTCCACTCTTTAATTTTTCTAGTGATTACTCCAGGGTTTACAATATGCACCTTTAAGTTACCATAGTCTTCTTCCAGACATTATTATATAACTTCTCCTCTAGGGTAAGAACCTTGAAACACTGTATATGTTTTTCCAGCTCTCATTTATTTCCTACTCCCATATTATTGTTGCTACACATTTCACTTCTGCATATAACCCCAACATACATAGCTAGTATTTTGCTTTAGATCAGGGGGCAGAAAAGTATGACTTGCAAGCCAAATCTTGCCCATGGCCTGTTTATATTATACAGTCTGTGAGCTAAGGTGATGGGGAGGAAGGCAGCAAACCACATTGCCATGTATGTACCTATGCAACAATCTTGCTGGCTCTTCACATGTACCCCAAAACCTAAAATGCAATAAAATATGTATTTTAAAAAAGAATGGCTTTTATATTTGTAAATTGTTATATAAACAACAAGAACAAGGAAGAATATATAATAGAGACCTTATATGGCTCACAAAGCTCAAATATTATCTGGCCATTTACAGAAAACCTTTTTCAGTTTCTTTTACAGATACTAAAATTAACAAAATTATCTTTTATATATACTCTTATTTTTATTATTTTTAATAGTCTTCATTTCTTTAATGTAGATGCAACTATATAAGAGAAGCATACTATCTTTTCTGGTGAACTTGAACCCAAAGGATGTGAGCCTGGAGTTGCAGAGGCCTTGATAAAGGGCTTCAGGATGAGGCTGACAGAGAGAAGGCAAGACCCACAGACTAGGAAGAACTGGTCACATCCTTTTTTTCTGAAGCCAGTGAGTGCTACCTTGAACTTTCAGTTACATGAACCAAGAAATTCTCATTTTTGTTAACTATTTTGAGTTGAAATATCTGTAACCTGTACACAAAAGATTCCTTCCTGACCAATATATTGACTTAGGAAAGGCTCTTTAGAAGCCAAAGTAATGAAAAACAAAAGTTTTCACCTGAAACTTTATTTTAATGTCTAGAGCCTATTGTTAGTTGCTTGATTGAAGAAGTCAAGTTCAACAGGGTACCCTGGAAAGTCACTTCAGGGCATTAAAGCAATTTTTTAAAATAAACTTTTCATTTTAGAATAATTACACATTTACAAAAAAGTTACATAGACATTACAGAGAGTTTTCAGACACTATTTCCTGTTTTCCTCTACTGTGAATGTCCCACACAACCAAGACACATTTGCCAAAACAGTGATACGTTTCTATTAACTAAACTACAGATTTTATTTGGATTTCACAAATTTCTCACTAATATATGTCTTCTCCCTCTTCTAGGGTCCTGTCTAGAATATCACATTGCACATATCCTAATCTCTGATCTGTGGCAGTTTCTCCACTATCCCTTGTTTTTCATGACCTTGACAGTTTTGAAAGATACTGGTCATATATTTTACAGGATGCCCTTTAATTTGAGTTTGGTGTTTTCCTCATAATTAGAGTGAGATGATGGGTTTTGGAGAAGAATGTCACAGAGGTGAAGTAAGGAAATATTTTAACAGAATTGATTAGGTGATAAGAAAATAAATGCTTCATACATTGAGTTAAGGAGACCTCTGAGGGGGACATGGTGGTACATGGGGGGCCTCAGTGTTTGCCATCGTTCAGAATCACAGTGCATTGAATACTAAGCATGGCACTTTTTGCATTTCAAGGAGACAAATGTGCATAGTGTTTTGCTGTGAATCTCTATATAATCATGGTAAATTTAAAAAACTTTTTACTTTCTGAAAATTCAAGCCACAGATATACTAATTCATTTCAATAACTTAAAGCTCATATTTCTCACTTCAATGAGAGAGGCACCTTTATTTTGCAGGGACCTTTCTGCTATATGAGTCCTGTGACTAGATTTATGCCTTTGGCTCCAGTTGATTTTGATAAAATGCTTCAATAGTCATGATTTTTTTTCTTTCACACACATATGCCCACACACTGTTATCAAAGGGTTACAGTTAGTTTCCAACTTACGATGGTTTGACTTATGATATTTTAAGTTTACAAATGGTGCTAAGTGATGCTCATTTAGTAGAAACCATACTTCAAATTTTGAATTTTGATCTTTTCCTGAGCTAGCGATATGCAATACAATACAATCTTGTGATGCTGGGGGCAGGGGCAGAGAGCCACAGCTCCCATCCAGCCATGATATCATGAGAGTTAACAATCAATACCCCTACAGTGGACTGTGTTGCCAGATGATTTTGCCCAATTGTAGGCTAATGTAAGTGTTCTGAGTATGTTTAAGGTAGGCGAGGCTAAGCTATGATGCTCGGCAGGTTAGGTGTATTCAATGTATTTTTGACTTATGATACTTTATATTTATAATAGGTTTATCAGGACATAACCCCATTGCAAGTCAAGGAGCATCTGTATATTGCTTCCAACAGAAATACATTATTAAATTGAGTTGCTGTATTACCAGGAAATAGTAACTAGATTGTCCACTTCCTCCTCTCTATTAATCCATCAATAATTGTGGTAGTTATTGAATATTCATTAGGCAGAACACGGGAAAAGTCGGTAGAAGAAAAACCAAAGGATGCTGCCATTGTCCAAAAAAGGCCTCATGGTTTAACACATTTATGATTCGATTGTTCAAATTGGATCATGCATGTGAAACATTGCAAGGTATTATGTAACAAAGCTGACTAACTTCCAAATGAATTCTCTTGCTGTAGACACATTAAAAAACAACAACAAACAACGTGCTCTGCATCCCATCAGAGCATATGTTGTTGGTTGTTTTTGTTGTTTTTTAATGACTCTGCAGCCCATTCAGACTTTACTCCTAAGTATAGTGAATTTCCCTAAACTCCAGTTGGGGGTAATCGCATTTTTTGTTTGGTCTGAACAACATTTTGAAATATTTTGAATTAGTTAATGTTTTGCAATTTGAGGGCATCCCCTTAAACTGTGTATTTTTGGCTTCCTGTTGAATCCAAAGACTTGGTATTGTTGGGGGGAGTGCATGTCCAGTGTAGACAGGGCATATAGTTCCTAACCCGTCTGTTTTAATCCCAACTGGCTTTACTTATTTGTTGTACTGTTTGCTCAAAAGAAATTACAACTTCTGCTCCAGAGATAGTTAAGATGAATTGTCTGGAAGGTCAGATGAAATGGAAGTTTTGTGCTTTCAGAGTAAAAAGAGAATAATTTAACCCCAATGGAATGGCATCCTCCTGGCCCAGGAATGGAATAGAGACAAAGGGAGGGTAGCAAAGAGTCTTCTGGAAGGTTGTTGTCTGAGGCAGCAAGATGTGGAAGGGGTAGGAGCCTGTAATACCAATTACTCTGCCTTGGTGAGAGTCTCCAGTGACTGAGGTTGCCACAAGGGACTGAAGCCACCACAGAGCAGCCATCGTTTTCCAGCCCTCAGTGGCCTCTGCAAAATACAATGGCAGCAGCAACTGCCAAAACCTGAGGTCCAAGCCCGCTCCTGTATTTTCTAGGACCTCATGTGCCCAAGAGAGTGGGAGGAAGTTCCAAAAATCTTTTAATGCTGGAACTGGATCTCTTGCCAATTTTGGTAGGCAGAGAATTGGAGCTAGATTTGATTAGATCTAGAAAAGCAAAGAAATGCAACATTACCTTCATCCCATGTTTTGAAACAACATATTCTTGTGCATTACAGTTAAATGTGGCTTTTCCTTCAAAAGAGCCTAAGCTGATTTATAAGAAGCACAGACTTATAGTAAGATAACAGTAATTGAGTTGATTAGGTTCAACTACATATGTGATTAAGCTCACCCTCAAGAATAAATGGCTGAACTACATGGTCTTCAAGCTCTCTCGGTTCTGAAAACAACAATATTGGTAATCTTAGGAAATATTCAGAATATAGTTGGTGAATGGAGGTTGAATTATACAGGCTGGCAGGTAGAATAATTTAGCAGCCGGGCATACAAGAATGGAGAAGCTGGTATCTATCTTCATTGTGAAGCCACTGTCACTTAGACAAATACATCCATGGCAAAGATTTAAATTTAATGGAAACTGTATTTCTTAAACTAAAATTGACAGTTTAGTATGTTAGAATTTACTACAGGCCTCTTTACAACTGTGAATAATTTTATTTCTTTCTAACCTGATAAGCAGCTTTGCTTTCTGAGCTCAGGACTCATGGTACAATTGCTTAATGACATTTCCCCTGGCAAGTTCCAAACTTGGAGAAATCTGACAAGACACCTAAGATTCATGTGATCAAAATGTTCCAAAAAATCCCCACTCCTTCCAAAGTTTCCTCTTTTCTATTTCCCCTTACTAAATTACCTTAACTGGATGCCTGGGAGCCACAATACGTCATTGTAATCTCATGTCAAGTTGCTGGTCAGAGCCTATGGATTCTATATCTTTATATTCAAGGTCATGAAGAGTTGAGAGCTGGAGGCTCTCTACCTGCCAGCTGCTCCTTATTCCAGATATTCATTTTCTCTGGCCTGAACCATTGCAGCAGTCTCTTAACTAAACTTAAGCCCTTCTACTGTCTGCATATTGACACCTGAATAACCTTCCTATAACTCATTTTAAAATGCATTGATACAGTCCCTTTGGGAGACAGTGTTGTGGTGTCTTACAAAGCTGAATATAAGTCTTAGCATATGATCCAGCAACTGCACCCTTAGTATTTATCCAACTAGTTTGAAAACATATGTTCACATAAAAACCTGCACAAAAATGCTTATAGAAGCTTTATTCATGATCAACAAAAACTGGAAGCAACCAAGACATCCCTCAACGTTGAATAGAGAGACAAACTGTGGTACATTCATAAAACAGAATATTGTTCAGCAATAAAAGAAATGATACTCCCCCTCCCCACTTTTTGTGTTGTTTTTTGAGACAGGGTCCTGGTCTGTCACTCAGGCTGGACTCTGAGTTCTGTACTCCCAGTAGTAATGAGCACTCTTAGTGCTCAGATCTTGGTTTTTTAATCTGTTTCTCCAATAAAAGGAACCAGGGCTCATTAGAAAATGGCAGTTCTAGGATTGGGGCAGGAAATGTGTATAATGAGTTTGGAGCATATTGTTATTGCAGAAGGTAAGGAAGTGCAGGGGGAAGTGAAGTGTGCACACACACACACACACACACACACACACCCAATGGCCAAAGCTGGAACAAACTGAGCAATGAGATAAATGAAGTAGTATCAAGTTATAACAAAATATAAAATAACCATGCATCGATACTGATATAAACGAATGATTAATAAAAAAAGTGGGTGGGGATAGACAAACATTTCTTGCAGAAAAAAATCCAAATAATTTATGCATATATTTCACCCTCAAGGTGGTAGAGCATAATTCACTATTCCTTGTGTGTGAGCTATGCATAGTGACTTCCTTCCAAAAAGTATAGTATGCAAAGGGCAATAATAATAATAATAATAACTTTGCAGTGGAGAAATACTACCTCAGCCAGGTGGTTAAGGTTAACACGAGCAGTGATAAGTCATGTTGACCATATGTTCCCTTGGTATGATGTGATGAGAGAATGACAGTTTACTTTTGTGGTCTTCCTTCCCCAAACCTATAATCCCAGTTCAATCATGAGACCAATACCAGACAAATCCCAATTGGAGGGCATTCAACATAACACCTGGCCAGTATGCAAGACTGTCAAGGTTATCAAATATAAGGAAAGTCTGAGAAGTGGTCATGGCCTGGAGGCACCTAAGGAAACATAATGACTAAATATAAGATGATATCTTAGATGGGATCCTAAAACAGAAAATCGACTCTAGGTAAAAACTAAAGAAGTGTGAATAAAGAATGGGC